AAAAAAAATATATATATATATATATATAAACTTTATAAAACTGCTAAAGCTGAGAAGAAGTATTTATAGAATTCTGACATTGTTTTCTGACATGTCTTAATATAAATGATTTCAACTATGCTTTTCAAATTTGTAAATATGAAAAATCCACATATAGGTAATTATTTTCATCCTATTAAATCCTATGACTTGCCCCTTTTCAATTCTGTGTAAGAGACTTAACTCAAAAGTTCCTAACTTGTTTTCATCTCTATCTGCATCCTTCCATCCCCTAAAACTATCTAATCTTAATGCTACCACTTAAACACTCAGTATTTGAACTATGTGCTAAAAACATTTTTTATTACCACATTCAAAATAATGCCTTACATTACAGTTACTTGAACAGAGGCTTGTTACATAAACAGTGACGCCAATCTTCCGACAACTATAAGCTAGTATGTGTGTAAATAATGCCAAGGGGTCAAGGCAAATCAGGTGGAGAACTCTAATCCTTATAATTAGGTTCTGACATACACAAGGGGAGACTGTAAATACGCACACTCACTGATTTCTTGGTTGTCAATGCCGAGTTCCAACGTGTCATTCTCACACAGGAACATTATACGCACCCAATATAAAAGGTCCACCAGCTCTGCGAACTATAAATTTTGTTGAGATTTACCAAAAATAGTTAACACCTTTAAAATCCCTATCCTCTTAAATCACCAAATTAAAAACAGAGTCAAATCCAGACGTCTGGCCACCTATCTACCGGCAATAGATGCTGTAATTTGTGTGATCCCATGCACGATCACATACATAGAGGAGCCTAAACACAGATACTAACCAAAGGAGGATGGACTAAATTAACGCAAAATGCAAAAGCCGAGCCTTAGGACTAAATACTCCGCAGGTTACTCGGTTAGTCTCATCTGATATTTCTCAAGGCTTTACGGAAACGCAGTGCTGACGAGAATCAAAATGCTGGGTAAATTAAGCCTTTGAGTTCCTAAGATGCAATGACAGCAGACTACCTGGAAAAAAGGGGACTGGCGCAAGCGCGGTGGTGGTGGTGTGTGTGTGTGTGGTGGGGAGAGGGGAGGTTGCTGAAAAAATAAAGGCGGGCCGCGCTCAAGAGCAGAGCTCAGAACCAAAGCTCAGGTAGGGATCTCCTGGGCGGGGAGACCTCTGCACCCTCCTCGGGGCCCCCGGAGCGTAGTAAATAGAAGCATAATAAATAGGGTCTGACACCCAGAGCTGAGGCCTAACGCTGGCAGAGGCCTGGGGCTGGGGCCACCGCCGGACATTCCAGAGAGGAAGACCGCAAGGAAACCGGGACCCAGAAAGAGTGAAAGGAGAACACTGACAGACATTCGGGGTCCACAGTGCTCTCGGACCCAGCCTCACCCTCTCATGGTAAACTTGACCACCGTGAGTCTGGAGCCCGCGCCGCTCAGCTCCGGCTGGAAATCCGGGTCGCTTCCGACCGGCTTCACTCCCACCATCCTCACAGAGAGCCTGGTCACAGAGAGCCGGGCGGGGCGGCCGCGACGCCACCGGCTTCGAAACTGAAGGAGAAGAAGACCCGGGAGAGGGAGGGGATAGGCTGAGGAGAGCCGAGGCCTGGACACAGGAGGTGGCAACCGGAGCGCCTTCTCCCGGGGCTCTCAGTGCCGAGTCACGCCAGGGAGCGCGGCGGCCGAGGGGGCGGGGCCGGGGGGAGGGGCGAGGCGAGGTTACAGAAGGCGTGCGGCACCCAGCAGTCACTGCGCGGCCGGGCTGCGAGCGCGGGGCTCCCTGACGTCATTTCCGGGCTGTCCGTTTCGGTCCCATTACCCAATCGTAAAAGGCGAAGCGTGGCCCCACCCTCGAATGAGGAGCCGCACGATATCTAGAGCGGTGCTGGCGCGGTTCCGTGTCAAAAGTTCCTGTGTTCCTCCGCGTCTTCCAGCCCTGAGGTTCTTACCCTGCGGTCGGACGGCGGGAAGGGGACTTCTTTTTCTATGGCGAGGGTGGCTGCGGCCTGAAGTCATAAGGCCCTCTTGGGAAGTACCTCAGTGAGGGCCCTGTTCTGTATTTGTGGCAGGTCATGACACACAAGACAAAATAGACTGTGGAAACAGATCTTGTCACGTAAGAGCTCTGTCTCGTGCAGTCATTCATAAAGTAATGCGCACCTGTCTTTAAGTTGTGCCTAAAAAGGTGAAGGCACCATCACTTCTTTAGGAACCTCACAGTCTAGTGACAAACACGAACAATGTGTACAGTAACAAGTTTGGATAGAAAACTGCAAAGAAGGGCAGTGTAAACTTGCTAGATAATGACCACTGAATTGAATCTTGAAAGAGAAGTGGGTTCTACTTGATAAATAACGAGGGATCAGCAGGTGCAACTGCAAGGGTTAAGAGGACAAATAATACTAGATAATATTTATTTGACATATTGCCTGTCCCAGCAAGACACAAGTTCTATGTATTATTAGCTCATTTAATCCTCATGACCATGAAGTAAATTCTGTTATTAAGTCAAAGCAGTCTATTAACAGAGTGCCCCTTTAAATATTAATTTTGGTGACAAATCAAATTATTTGCTTTTGGAGTTACTGGGGGGGGGATGAAATTGGAGAGGAAGGTAGAGGTCAGATATTGACTAGTAAAGGAATATGGATTTTATTGTGAAGGCAGTGGGAAAAAAAATTCACTGCAAGGTAATTTTTTGATCATAGTGTCTTTATAAAACACCCTGAAGTAGCAATGAGGAAGATGGAAGGCAGTGAGACCAGATTAGGAGGCAACAGTGGTCATTAGGAACTAAGTTTTGAGAGCTGCCACAGTGAAAATTTAAAAAAATAGAATATATTTGAGAAACAATTCAAAGATTAAAACCACATAGTTTAGTGACATGACAGAAGAAGAATCCAGTCTAACTTAAATATTTCAATCTGAATTTTTTTTCAAATGATGATTTTTTTTAGTATGCTGGGCTACCATAGCAAAATATAGAATGTGTGGCTAAAACAAAAGAAATTTATTTCTCACAGATATGAAGACCAGAAGTCCAAGATCAAGGAGCTGGCAGAGTTGGTTTCTCTTGAGACCTTTCTCCTTGACTTTTATTATTATTAATAGTGTGTGTGTATATGCTCGCCAGAGAAACAATGCGACAGCACTCTCTAGTAGGGTGTGGTCATGTGGCAGTCCCTTCTTTTTCTCCATCATGTTGTGAATGGGCATGCATGCATGCAAACATGCCCAGCATGTTTTTGATGCCACCAGGTCAGGACTTGAATTGTAGACAGACATTTGGAATCTGGTTCCCTTAACCACCAGGCCATGCAGCCAGCCCTCTCCTTGACTTTCATATAGCTGTCCTCTTGATGTGTCTTCACACGGTCTTTTCTCTGGATATGTGCACGTATACGTGCACATGATACAGAATACTGGTCTTTTCCTCTTCTTATAAGGACTCTAGTCCTATTACATCAGGGCATAATCTATAAGAACTCATTTAACTTTACTTCCTTAAAGGCATTTTCTCCAAATAATGCCATAATGGGGGGTTAGAGTTTCAACCTGTGAATTTAAGGAGGGGACACAGTTCAGTCCTGAACAGATGTATTATTATTATTTCCAAGCAAGTATAAAGAGTCTCAACTAAGGTAGCTATAGTAGATATGAAGTAGAGAACAGGGCTTATTCAGGTAAGGCCTTGGAATTCTATACATTCTTGAGAAATACACTGAATGGAGGCATTGTAAAAGCTGGATCAACTGGGACATTTTGGGTGTTTATTTTTCCTATGTCTCCTCTGGACCTTTCTTCATCATGCTCTCAGCCCCGGAAAGACTGCACTGATAGGATCCCTTGGTGGAACTTCTTGTTGAAGACTGGAAGGTGCAAGAGGATAAGATCCAGTTATTAATTCTCTGGACTCCTATCCTGCTATGTTGCCACAGATTAGCTATGTCTCTCAATGAAGGTCACAGCCCCTGTCTCACTGTTACCCTATTTGTGTTCCTGTAAGCATTGTCTTCACTTGTTTCTTCAGGACTCGGAGTAGGGACTACTTCTGGCTGTCAATAGCACCAAAGAACAACCTGCTGCTAATGCAGATCTAATTAGGCTAGAGAATTCTGAATCCATACAAACAGCAGAGATGCTGGCCACCATAACCCAAAGGCAAGTACCCTAGAGAAAGCAACCTGAAAGTCCTAATTCCTAGAATGGCTTTTCATGCTTATTGCATGAACCACCTCCAGTCACCAAGCACCAACCTAACTGGTAAGCCCAGATAGTACCCACTCATCAGCAACATACAGAGACTTCACTCTCCTGACATCAGTAAAGGTCTTTTGATTTAAAAGGAACCACCATTTTTCTTCTCCATTACCTTTACTTCTCCAGAGCCTAGTTGTATAGTGTATCTAACCTCTTTTTTTATAGTAAAGCTTTTCCACTTATCACTCAATCCTTGATGTCTTTGTCTTTATTTTCTCCTTAAGAATCCCTTTTGAATTTTCCTAAACCCTGTCTATAGGTTTATTAATATTTCCCTTACTAAATTATCTGCAATTACCCACTGTGAATGTACAGTCTTTTTCTGTAATTCTGCCTGATATTAAAATTTGAAAATGGCTAAACACCAGGGCAATCAGAGGTTGGAAAATTGCTACAGTAAACTGAAAATAAATATATGAGAGTTGCCTGCATGTAAGACATAGCTGATACCACCAAAGTTCATCAGGCAATACGCAGAAAAGCAAAAGTTTACAACAGAAACTTAAGGACAACCACAAATAGGGAGTAAAACGAGATGAATTAGCAGAGAGGCAGGAGGAAAGTCACAAAAAGGCTCAAAGACAAAAAGGATGAAGACTGAGAAATATCTTTGAATGTAGCAAGAGGAATCATTAGGTATAGCGTGAATAACCAGTACAGTTCAGTGAATTAAGATTAGTATCAGTTCAATGGCACCTGCAACAAGTTCTTCAGGGCCTCACATGTCAGTCACTGTGCTAACTCTTCAGATGGTAAGGACAGTTATTACATATTCTTGTCCTTAGAATTGCATACTTTTGTCAAAGCTCTTCACAATGATCCTGAGAAACAGGCAGGGTGATGGTTATTATCTCTACTGATGAAAGGACTGACACCTGATATTGTCAGGATGTGTATAACTGATTTGGTTATAGAATTAAACAACTGTTGCACTCAGCATTATCTGGAATTGGAATTTATATGTGTGCATAAAAATGTTTAGCAGACATGAATACAAGGTGTTTTTTTAGGTAACTTTTTTTCTTTGTCTATCTTTTCTAATTTTCTCAATTATTAATAGTATATATAATAACAATAATAATAATAATAATAAAGAAGTAATAGTTGTGGGGAAAGGCCCTACACATAGTGGTTAAAGGAGCTGTATCCCAAATAGCTGACCACAGTTTGAATCCTGGCCCTGGTGGTTTGAAAAACACACTGAGCTTCTGTTTGTGCATTCTGAAAATCCTGACAGGATGGAGAACTAGAGAAGAGATTGCAGCATGACCACATCCCATAGGGTGTGTGTGTGTGTGTGTGTGTGTGTGTGTGTGTGTGTGCTTTCTCTCTCTTTGTTCCTCTCTGGTGAGTACATGTGCCCTCTTGGAATTAAAAAAAAAAATCAAGGAATTCTACCAAGATGGTCCAGATAGTTAAAGCAAAAATAATATTCACATTTAATTTGTTTTCCCATGTCATTAACTAATGCTTAAATTCATTAAGTAAAGTAAACTTTTGGTGGGTGAAATTTTCCCAAAAAATGTTATAGTTTTTTTCTGCATTTGCATAGGATATCCTGAGAATCCTATTTCCTGGAATTTCCATGAAAATTTTTAAACATCTTGTAGACTTCAAACCCTCAGTAAGGGTGACTTGTGATGATTCTTTTCTGATTTTAATTTTTGCTAGAGAGTACGTGCACTCTCTGGAGAGAGACAGAGAGAGATGGAGAAGAGAAAGCACACCTTTCATCCACCCCATGGGGAATGTTCACGCCATGTTCCCTTTGCCTCTGTCACTCCCTCTTTTGGGGATTTTGAGTAGATATACATGCACAAATGCCAGGCATGTTTCTCAAGCTGGCAAGTATGAGACTGTACCATGTAGTCAGCCATATAGGACCCAGCTGCCTTAACCACTAAGCGATGGAGTTGGCCTGTGATTTTTTCTTACGAAGACAAGGAACACCCTTTAATTCTCAGACATTAGTCAGAGATCTCAAACTGCTCCTCTTCCCAAGGTGTTGGTAGTCCTTTTTTCCTGTATAAAATTCATAAGAAGAAAGTTAATAGCTTAATCCTTAGTCCCTGTTGCTGAAGGTAGTGATGGAGTTCACAACTGGTACTTAAGTTTTTCTTTTTCTTTTTCTAGCTTTTGCTATAGGGAACATGTGCTTGCCAGAGAGAAAGACAGATAGACAAAGACAGATTTTTTTTTTTTTTGAGAGGCTTTTGCTATGAGTGTGTGCTCACCAGAAAGATAGAGAGAGAAAGAGAGACAGAAAGTGAGAAATCACCCCCCAGGTGGATGGCCACACCGCAATCCCTTCTCCAGTCTCCTCTTGGGATCTTGGCTGATTTTATCCACCACACTTTTATTTTTTTATTTGCTCATTTTGAATTT